ATCAGGACAATCAAAGTGTGAGGGATGGACGAACATGTGAGAGAGATGGCTTTGGTGCCATCACTACATGAAAATTTCACCAATGTTAGTATCAGTTTTGCAGATTAAAACCAAACTATAACATATAAGGAATACTATTCAGTCGTAAAAAGAAGTCAGTAATGCCATTTGCAGCAATATGGATGGATCTAGAGATGATCCTATTAAGTGAAGTAAGTCAGACAGAGAAAGACAAATGTCATATGATGTCACTAATGTGTGGAATTTAAAAAAAATTTAAAAAGATATAAATTTCATTTACAAACCAGAAATAGACTCACAGACATAGAAAAGAAACTGTGGTTACTGAGGGGAAGTGGGGAGGGGTAGATCAGGAGTTTGGGATTAACAGTGACATACTACTGAATATAAAAGAGATAAACAATAAGGACCGATAGGACCTATTGTATAGCACAGGGAACTATATTCAGTTTCTTGTAATGAGTCATAATGGAAAAGAAACTGAAAAAAAGTATGTATATGTATCACTGCTGTATACTTGAAACTAAGATTGTAAGTCAACTACACTTCAATAAAAAATAAGAATTAAAACACCCCAAATTATAAGAAACATTTTCCTTATATAAATATGAATTTAATGCATTATATAAGGTAGATGGCTACACGGACATATAATGTATATATTATGCATATATATACTACTATGTACATAGGTGGCATATATTTAATACCTATGTGCATAAAATATATACATATTAAATACACATATGCATAGATACGTATATAAGGTATACATGCATGCATTTATAATGTATATAGTATGCATTTATGTATTTATATTGCATAATGCATTAAGCATTTAGTAACTGTGTATAACTTATTATATAGTATACGTCCAGTCACAGACACCTAAAAATTGAAGTCCTTGTAAGTTTGGGATCCACGGAAGTCCTGCAGCCAGTGTTAGCCAAGTCATCACTCCTGATAAAATTCTAGCATATATTAACAAAGTCCTTCAATAAATATTCCCTGAAGGCCTGCCACATCCCAGTACCAATTAGAAACCGTGAATTAAATAAACATGGTTCTTGGGATTTTTTGAAGCTTACATTTAGGGGAGAATATATACAATAATATTGAAAATTGCAGTGACAGATGTAAGAGGTAATAGGGGAGCTGAGCTGTGTCTGAGGTCAGGCAGAAGTGGGGGCCTCTGGAGGAGGGGTGTTGAAGCTGAGATCGGAGGTCTGAAGATTGAGGAGCCATTACTCTGTGGATTAGAGGAAAGCACGTCTGGCAGAAGCAATGGCACGTGCAAGATCTAGGAAAAGGGTCAGCATCTTCCAGAAAACGAGACCGAGTTGATTTTTCTAAAAGGCAGTGAATGAGGGAGTGGCACTGAAGGTGAATAGTGCAGTCAGCAAGGCCCAGATCATGCACACCTGACCTGAAGGCCATGCTGAGGGGTCTGCATTTTACCAGCAGTGCCGGGAGATCAGCCTGGTGGCCATGTGGGAAATGAACAGGAGGAAGGGAGACAGGACAGAAGGCCCTCCAGCAGCTCTAGGGGGAGATGCTGGACCGTGATGCGGACAGTGGAGGTGGCAAATCTAGAGAATGAGGGGTGATACTGACCAGATTGCCAATATAAAGTTTTCAAGAAAGACCATGAGGTTTCTAATCTGAGCAGTCCGGTTCACGACAGTGCCCTTAACCGAAATGGGAAAGACCAAGTGGGAAACAGTGTTGGTGAATATGAACCAAAAAGAATATTCTGTTTGACAGAAGTCAGTGTGCATGGGGGTGGAGGTTCAAACATCGGTGAGAGGCGTGGGCTGGGCAGGTCTCCCAGCACCGGTGCTGTGCACGTCTTGGGAGAGATAATAACGTCCTGGGGTCTGTGGGATGTTCAGCGTCATCTCCGACCTCTGCCTACCAGATGCCAGTGGTTCTGCCTCTTGCTGTGACAGTCAACACACCTCCAGAACTTGCCAAATGTCCTCCAGGGTAAAACCACCACCCGCTGAGAATGACTGGCTTAGAAACCTAACTTAGGGATTGCTGAAATATAGATGAAATTTTTAAAATCCATGAAAGTAGAAGAAATCACCCAGAGACTTTCAGTTCCTGCAAAATAGTGCATCAAATAAATGCAGAGTTCTTCCACTGTGTTTGAAATGCTTGGTAAAATCTAACAATAACAAAAATGGAAGACCAAGAACATAAAAAAAGGAAATACCCAGACAATAGTATGATATGATAATACTGTTCTGATATATCGTATTATTATAATATAATGTAATAATACTATTATATGATAATAATAATAGTGAGGAATGGAACTTAAATCAGTGAACACGCAGCTGCTGTAGCCCTGACACTGGAGGCGGACAGAACAGAGCACAGGACTTGAATTTTAATACCTGTGCATGGCTGTACAAGGCAAGAATTAAGGACTCTTCGTGAAAAACTTTCTTTCGTAAAGTCTGGACATAGAAACTTGAAAGCTTCAGTGAAAGGTGAACATTAAAAATATCTGATTCTCACCCAGCGTTGGACACGGAAGCTCCTGTGTCTGATGTCAGGAAAAAGGCTACCCTCAGCAATCAGAAGCCAAGCCCATGTCCCATTCTGCTTTGGAGTCTAACGTTGCAAGGTCTGAGGAGACCAGAAGTGCCCAGCTGGGAAATTAATATACATGGTGGTTCTTGTGATACCCTGCGGATGTACAGAGGCATTAATATTAAAACTTCCTTAGAGGATCATTCTCAGAACCGGTCCACACGTGAGACCCCTGCCAAAAACAAGCCCCTCTCAAGGAAGTGCAAAACGTAAAACTGAAATACAAAGAACTCACGCACCATGAAGCAAAAGTTTACAGGAACAAGAAATAGGAGAACCATTGCTTTACTCATTTGAAACAATAAGTAAATTGAAGCTGACTATAAATTAGTAATGTGAAAAATGACTAAAAAATACATATATATATATGAAGAACAAGACACCAGGGGAAAAAGAGAATCGGATGGAATTCTTGACGCAATTATAATAAATGACTGCAAACACAGTGGAAATCCAACAGGAGGCTCTTGCTTTACAGAAACTGAAGAAACTGGAAGCTAAAGTCGAGGAAATATCACAGATTAAGGTAAATCAACAGTAATGATCAAAGAGAAGTCAAAGATGACTTCCTTATGGAAGGTAGCATGAAAATAACCCACACCTATTGGTGAGGAGTTCCGAAAGGACAGGACAGAGAGAAGAGAGAAGTGGTAATAACTGAAGGGAAAATGCTTACAAACTTCCAAAATTGATCAAAGACACAAATTCTCAAATTAAGGAAAAACAAAGCATAAATCTCAAGCGAGATCATTCACACATTCAGCACAGGCACAGAGTAGGGAAAGGGCAGAACACTGAAATGAAACAAAGTATCTGAAGAAGAGAGATCATCTCATAAAGGGAATAGGGGTAGATGAGAAGAGGAGTAAGATCCAGTCTGGGGGAACGTCCACAATGAGAGAAGCTGAGTCAAGGGTACCAGGACAACCACTGTAGTCACACTATAATGAACAAGAATCTGAAAAGGAATGTATGTGTGTACATGTATGACTGAGACATGATGCTGTGCACCAGAAACTGACATGACATTGTAAACTGACTTCAAATAAAAAAAAGAAAAAAGATACTCACTGGGAAGGAAAAATGGAGACAAGAGACAGACTGAGGGAATGAGATAAGAAACAGAGACAGATCAGGGCCATGAGTGGGGCACTGTCTCAGCCTTTCACGAGAAAACTGTGTTATTTTTGCATACTAATCATTTAATTAAAAATATTGACTAAGTGCCTAATTTATAAATAACAGTTTACAAATTCCTACTTTCCTGGAGCTTACATTCCAGTGGGGGAAAGTGGATGATTTCAAAAAAAAACCCAACAACAAACAATGACATAGTATGTTGGAAGATTGTAAATGGACCAGTAGAATTGGAGCAAGTAAGAAGAGAGGAGAGTGCCAGGGATGCCACTTTAAACGGAGTGATTTGGGAAGATCTCAGTGAGGAGGTGATATTTAGGAAGTGCTTGGAAGCAGCGAGGGATGGAGTCACATCTTTTTGGAAAAAGAGCAGGCAAAGGCCCTGAGGCAATGGCTGCCTCCTGTGTTCTGGGAAGAGCAAGAAGACCACCATGACCAGAGCCAAGGGCACCACGGGGACAGCTGGAAGGAACAGTGTCAGAAAGTGAAAGGGCTGTGCCCCATTCTAAGGACTTTCAATTATGCTCAGATTGAAGGATTTAAGGGGTGACACCATCTTGCTTCCCTTTTAATGGGCTCACCCTGGTTGGCGTGTGGAGAGCACATTTGAGGGGCAAGAGCAGGAGCAGGAAGGCCATCCAGGGCTGTGGAGTGATTCAGCGAGCCACGATGATGTTTGGACCACCGTGGGGTAGAAGGAGGTGACTGGATGCCAGACACCTTTGAAGGTGGAGCTACTGGATTGCACGTGGGTATGAGAGATGCCATGAATGATGACCAGGATGGTGGAGCCTGCAGGTGGATGGGCTTCAGAGTGGAGGGAGAGGCTTACTTTTGGGCATTTTAAATTTGAGCTGTCTTAGGCATGATGGCTCCTGAAAAAGAGTAACAGCATAGCTAGAAAACAGAGCTATTTTAGTGCCTTGGAATCTAAGAACAAGAGAAAAACAAAACGTGGCACAGAGGAGGGAATGAGCAACTGTGTCCGAGGACCGAGAACTGATCACTTGTTACTGATTCTGAAAATCAGTTTCATTGGAGGAGTGGGGATGAAAGTCCATTTGGAGTGTTTTAAAAAAAAAATGGGAAGAGAAATTAGAGATGGTATGTATATGCTGAAACATGGTCTAAGATAATAAATTCATCTTGAAATTTATATTACCTGGAAAATCAAACTTTCTTGCATTATTTTTATTTTTTTAATACTCCATGACTTTTCCCCTCTATTTCTCCTATCCGAGCCCTGGGGTAAGACCTACATGACAAGGAAGAGTAAGGAATACACTGAAGACTCGTTTGCATAGCACACGACCAAGCCAATAGGAAAGCCAAGACTGCCTTGACTTCTCCTCCTTTCACGTTTAAGGGGATGCCTCATTAGGTAAGTTAGACATTTTCAGCTATGATACCTGTCATCGTGGTACAGACTTTTAATGTTATGAAGTTCTATTTAACAACTCGCATGTAAACAGTACCGACGTGTGGTTTCCCTAATGACCCTTCCTGGCTGGCATCTGATTTCAAAGCTTTCCTGACTCTCGCGGAGCCTAAGATGCCCTTCTCCTCGTGCATCCCAGGAATGAACATCCTTAATCGGCAATGAGAGTCCAATCGGTGGGGCTGTTTTAGGGAAGATCCCTGCAGAAAGCCGCCAGCAGGGCTGTGCTCTGCTCGCAACCGTGCTCTCTGTAAACATCACACGTGAAGAGTAACACCAAACAGTGCCGCAAGCTTTAGATGACTGCGCTTCATATCAGGCGTTCTTGTTCTATGTTTAGTGACGATCAAACATCCCTGTGGCTCCATTTCGGTTTCCGTTCCACACGCCTTTCCTTCCTGCTGTACCTTCCTTGACTTTTCTTTCTCTGCCTCCTCTGAGGACTTTCAGTCAATCAAATGGCCTGTGTTAACTGCCGTCCTTCATGCCTGCCTC